TTTATGTGTGTGTGTCTGTGTGTGTGTCTGTGTGTGTGTCTGTGTCTGTGTGTGTGGCCAGCTCAGCCCACCAGGGGGCAGGGCTGGCTGGCATGTGGTGCTGGGGGATTGAACCGAGGTCTCTGTGCTTTGCTAAGCTTGTTCTAAGTAGGTGCTTTAGACCACTGAGCCATCTCACCAGCCCCTTTTTTTTAATTTTTTTTTTGTTTGTTTTTTGCTTATTTTTTTTTTTTTCGGAACCGGGGATTGAACTGAGGCCGTTGCATTTGCCATGGAAGCACTTATTCTCCTGAGCCATCACCCCAGCCCAAAATACTTTTTTTTTTTTTTTTTGTGGAACCGGGGATTGAACTCAGGCCCCTGCGCTTGCCAGGCAAGCACTTATTCTACTGAGCTAACTCCCTGGCCGAAAGTGGGGAATTTTAAAGGAGAGTACATATGGTGCTATCATTTGATGTACAATGTCTCTCTTTTGAAATTCTGGGGTCTCACTATGCAGTTCAGACTCACAGTGAGCCTCCTGTCTCAGCCTCCCTACTGCTGGGATGACAGGAGTGCACCACTACGTATGACACCATGCTCAGTTCTGGGGCCGGAGCAGCACCACATGCAGTATGGGGGACTGAATTCAGATCCATGTGCTTGCCAGGCAGATGCTTAGACCACTGAGCTATCTCCCAGCCCCCACAATGTCTCTTTTTATCTTCAGGCTCCAAGGCAAAGGAAAGGAGGATAGTTCCCCAGAAAGTAAGAATAAGGTTCACAGTTTGCTCCACCACAGGAAAGGTTATTTATCACAGTGCACAGCATATAGTCCATGTTTCTTGACATCATCCTATCCAAAGTGCTAAATAATAAACCATACTATACTTTCCAGTTCCATTTGCTTCTGTTTTTTACTTGGTTACTCAAAATTCCATGGCATTGTAAGTCTTTCTACCTTCGAAATAGGGCTTTCTCTTTATTAAAAGGCCTGTCTCGTCTTTCTCGTTGGCTGTCTGGGTTGAAGCAAGCAATGTTCACTTGATCCTGAGTGACTGACCTTTTCTATACTGTAGACTGAGAGGCCTTATCCCAGGTAACATCTCTGTCAGAGTTTGTCTGTTTGTTTTCTCCTCTTCTTTCTCATGTCTCTACTTCTATCCTGGACTGGGCTGAAGCACAAGGAACTGAGGAACATGGAGAAGGCCATGGCATCAGCGCCTGCCCACCAGGGTGAGTGATGTTTATTTCCTTCGATTCACTGTTCACTCCCTGATGTAGATCTGCCAGGTGAGTTTACATCACACCATTTCCTTCCGACCCAGCCACCTGAGCAAGGAGAGCCTAGCTCTCTTTTCCTCCAACACTGGTTCTACTATACCTGCAGCTACTGTCTGTGGCCATGCAAGGACACTCTCGAGGGCTGCAATGCCCTCTGAGCTCTGCTCGAGCAACACTAAGAGCAGGATGCACCCAGATAGAAAGCCTGTCTCCAGTGAGTGCAAAGATGCTTGATACTTGAGGGGAAAAGCACATGCTTCTCAGAGGATGCGTTACTATTAGGGGAAATATCTACCTTTGAGTTTCCCTGGATTAAATCTTTGGGGCAATTTTAACAAGGCTATACTTTTTTTTTTTTTTTTTTTTAAATTTATTTGTGTGTGTGGCCAGTCAGCCCGCCTGGGGGTGGGGCGGCTGGCATGTGGTGCTGGGGGATTGAACCGCGGTCCATGTGTTTTGCTAAGCTTGTTCTAAGTAGGTGCTTTAGACCACTGAGCCATCTCACCAGCCCCAAGGCTATACTTTAAAACTCTGTGTAGGACGTGCATACATCATTACATTTGCCAGTATTCATTCAGCACTCCCACTCTACCCTTCTAACTTCTCTCCATGACAGCAGTGACTTTTGAGATCCTTAAAATACTTACATTCTATGCTATGCTTACTACAGCTGACTAAACATATAATCAACTGTCAGTAGAAATATCTTTAGGTAGATAAATTCAATGTTAACTCTGTACTTTTACCAATCTATGTATATGTCATGCCTAAGGACTATCACATCTAGCAAAAATGTTCACAGTAGAAAATAATAATTAACCTACTGAAAAATGGTGTTTTCATTCATCCTTCCATATTCTGAAATCTTCGATTAATATTCTTTTCAACTCCATAGTAAGAGAAAGCAGTTACTCACACTTGCCTAGTGTGCTACAATAGCGCTGTTTTTCCATCTATGTCCCACACTCAAAGGGAAAATAGATGTATTATTAGGTTCTTTTGATCTTTAAGAAACTAAACTTGGATGTTGTCTAAAAAAGACTGTCTAATCTTGAAACCTGAAGCAGCATGACTGTAAAGAAAGTGTACAAGCAGAGCAACTCCAAGCCCTTGTAAACCAAGGGTAGAAGACACAGCTCTCAGGTAAGAAAACCATCAACCCAGTCATTGTCCCAACTCTCCAAACACTTCTGTGTCTCCTTCAACAAATACAACCAATACAACTTAACTTCTTTTAATTAAATTGGACGTTCAAGAAAAAGACACTAGGCTTGAACTTGGGAGGAGGGGGGTTCAGTGACTGGGTAAAAATACCCTGAGATCCACCTCAGTTAAGTCACTGCGCCACCCTGACCTTGGTGCTTTCAAATGGGGTCACCACACTTCTTGGAACTATTTTTAAAATTAAATTAAACTCCCATCTCAGGTGCCTAGTAATGTATCTCGGCATTTTAGAAAGTGCTCCATCTGATGCCATCCCATCTTCTTGCCCTGTAGGGAAACAATTTCAACAACTGCAAGCTCAGCACAGTCACCAATGGGTCAGTGGCCTCCACACAGAATAAACACAGCTCTAGGTGTCACCCTTACTTTTTCTCATCAAAGTGAAAGGTGCAAATGGGAAGCTAGGTAATGCACTATGACTTCCCTAAAAACTCCAACTCTTTCCCTCTTCTGAAGCAATTTTTTTACTCTTCTGAAAGTCAGAAGAGTTTCCACTATTTTCAGTTCATGTATCAGAAATCCTTTATGACCTAGGATAGGTAGGTAGGTAAACAGATGACAGATTCATTCTGAAGGAAACAATAAAACAATCAAGATAAGCGATCAGCTGTAGCTGTTCTTTTCAATAAATCAATAGGAATTGGTAGTACATAAATCCTACATTGTTTTTATTCTTTATAGTCTTTAAAATTTTGAAAAAGCACCTGCTTAGACAAGTGCAGGGACCAGGATTTTATCCTCAGCACCCCATGCTGCACCAGCCCTGCCTCAGGGTGAGCTGAGCTGCCAAGATCAGGCGTGGTGGCACATGCCTGTAATCCCAGGGCTGGGGAAGCTGAAAACAGGAGGATCACTATGAGTCCAAGCTGCATAGTGATACCCTTTACCAAATATATAAAATAAAACAAAACAAAACAAAACAAAACAAAAAGATAAGCAATCAGGCAGCCTCTATTTACCTGTTTTAGGTAAATAGAGCCATTTTGTCATGTGTTTATGAATATTTTAAATATGTCACACAACCTACAGTCTCTAAGCTTAAATCATATAGTTGTTGATGTAGCTAAGAACAGAAACTACTTAAGTAGTTTTATCAAAAAAGAATGTTTTCTATTTCATTCCCATTGCACACTAGAGGAGTATGGGCTATGGGCTGTCAATCTCATTTCAAGATGGGCAGATGGAATGGACTGCTGTTCAGGTATGAAGAGAAATACGCATGAGGGACAATTCAGAGATGTTATATATCTTTATATCTGTAAATAAAGTTATTTAGGAAATACATTGGGAATTTGTTTGGCAACTCATTTTACTATGAAATGTTTGGCAAGTTGGTGAACAAGATCTGCCAGTCTTAATATTCCGAGGCATGAAATCTGGCTAAACTGATGCTGTATTTGTTGTCGCTTTCTCCTTGTATCTTCTTCCAATGATCCATGGCTTTATTCTCTTTCTTAGCTATTTTCCTTCTAGAGTTACTTCAACTGTATTATATATATCTGAAACTCTACTAACTCCAGAAAACAAACAGTGCCAGTATCATACCTTTTCATAAATTTCTAGAGAAAATTCAGAGAGAAGCGAAGCCGCACATAATTGTGACTCAAATCCCATGTTCTCTGTGATGTTTCACACTGGTGGTTCCATTCTGCCTTCCCCCGCTGTGTTTTCTACCCTGCTTCTGTCATAATCCCCACCCCAATGAGGACATGGAACTATGACCTGCTCGCCAATTTCACCAGTATGTTCATGTGTCAGGAGCACAGCTTCTTTTACCATAGAAGACACTTAAGTTAGATGAAAGGGAGTCAAAAGACAACATCCTGCAAGAAGACAGATAGCCAGTCTGAGCCTGGACTGATTAACTACAGAGATTACCAAGCATAAATGGATGTCCTCTAGAGCTCCTTGTTAGTCCTGTAACAATTTCAGTTCTCTAAATAATTAGGATTTCCCACTGTCACATTCTAGTCTAAGGGCCTTAGACAGCAACACGGAGACAAGACAACAGGGTGCAAAGATGCCGAGCAGTTTCTTGAGACTTTAAAATTGTTTTGCTCTTAGGTTCTTTTTTTAATTTGTGTTTTGTTATTTTGAAATGTTGAGGATAAAATCCAGGGCCTAGAGCAGGCTAGGCAAGTGCTGTGCCACTGAGCTATGCCCCCAACCATGACTCAGCTTTGTGTTCAGGATAATAAAGCCATGACTGAGTGAGCTTAGGAGGCAGCAATGAGGACCCAAGCAAGCACCCAGACTCTTCTCTTGGGGATAATATAAAAAGTACACTCATGAGTGTGGGGCTAAGATTAACTCACTAGGTTTACTGGATCCTATTAGAAAACAGATTACTTACCTTGGCACCACTTTAGTTGTAAAATTAAATAGATGTGAAATTTTTTAAACACTAAAATGAGTGGTAAGAAAAATAACTAAATCTCCTATGTCCAGGATAATCCTCTCTGTTTTGGCACAGTTAAAATGTAAAGCCTTTTGGGTCACACTGGCTGCCATACCTGTCCTGTGTAGGCGAACTCCAGAGCCTGCTTCAGACCAAGGCTTGTCACTCCATGCAAATTCACCTCATCGGCTCCACTTTCCACCATGCAAAGGCTGAACATTGCCTGAGGCAGGAGAAGAAAGACAGACTGAATAAAGGAACTTAGAAAACAAGGAGGTGAGACATTCTCTCTTTGCCACATCTCCTGCAAGAACGAAGACCATTCTTAGCACTCAGACTGTCGACATTCCAGAAAATGTTGATATCACTCTGAAAGGACACAGTTATTGTGAAGGGCCCCAGAGAAACCCTGCAGAAGGACTTCGACCACATCAATGTGGGACTCAGTCTCATTGGGAAGAAAAACAAAGAGGCTCTGGGTAGACAAATGGTGGGAAACAGGAAGGAGCTGGTGACCGTCCACAGGATCTGTAGCCACGTACAGAACAGGATCAAGGGGGTCACACTGTGGTTCCATTACAAGATGAGGTCTGTGTGTGCTCACTTCCCCATCAATGTCATTATTCAGGAGAATGGGTCTCTTATCAAAATCTGGAATTTCTTGCGTGAAAAATACATTCGCTGAGTTTGTATGAGGGCAGGTGTTGCTTGCTCAGTATCTCAAGCCCAGAAAGATGAGCAAATCCCTGAAGGAAATGACATTGAGCTTGTTTCCAATTCAACTGCCTTGATTCAGCGAGCCACAGCAGTCAAAAACAAGGATGCCAGAAAATTTTTGGATGGTATCTATGTTTCTGAAAACATCCAACAGTGAGATGAGTAAGATCTAAGAATCCAGCCACAGAAACAAGCCTCTGGATTGTAAAGCCAATCTGTGATATTTTAATGAGACAATAAAAGATTTTTATTGAAAAAAAATTTAAAAACCAAGGAGGTAAGATGATGTCCCAGAAGACCAGGAAAGAGTTTTATAAATTACAGATGGATTTTGATTTTTGAAATGCTCCTACAAAGCTGCATTCACACAAGCTGCTGCAAATGACTTTGACACCTAAACAGTTACGGCAACAACGTCCACAGTACCACGTTCCTCCCACTCCGAATCTCATTTGAGGCAAGTAGGTAGGCTCACTAAACTCTTCTCCTCCACTCCAGGGTCTCACTGCTACCTACTGCAATCTTAGACATCCTGGCGAACGGGACACGAAGAGCAGCAGTGCATTTCCTGGCTTCTTGGCCTCTGGGATCCAGCGATCCCACCTCTGGATACATATCACACGCTCTCATCCGTAGCTTTACTCTCTGCTGCTGCCATTACAGTAGCAAATATAATATAAAAATGCTACATGGGAAATTACAGAAACCAATAACTTCTAAATTTTATTTATTTATTTAGAGCCAGGGTCTGGGTATGCAGTTACTCACAGAGATGCTCCAGCCTCAATCTCCAGAGTGCTGGGATTCTGGGCATGTGCCACCACACCCAGATCCAGTAAGATTTATTTATTTATTTATTTATTTATTTATTTATTTATTTATTTATCCTTGCAGAACCAGGGATTGAACTCAGGCCCTTGTGCTTGCCAGGGAAGCGCTTATTCCACTGAGCCATCTCCCTGGCCCTCCAGTAAGCTTTAAATTGTGCGCTGTTATAAGGAGCCTGATAAAATCTCACCACTGCCCACTCTGTGGGCGCATGAATCACCCCTTTTTTCAGTGTATCCCCGATGTATATTCTACTGTACTCATTTGTCCCTTGTCACTTGCAAGTCATTTCAGTCATCAGATCAACTCATGACATTACAAATGGTTGTGTTCAGGTAAATCTTGCCTAGTGGCCTAACCTTACTGTCATCATTCCTTTGTCATTCACCTGTCTTCCTTCCAACACACAAACTGGAGAGTCCACACAAGGGCGAGCCTAGTACAGGAAGATTGACTGAGAGATCGCGTTATTACTTTTGTTAAAGCTTTATAATTGTTTTATTTTATTATTGTTAATCTACTGCAACAAATTTATAAACTAAGCTTTTATCACAATTATATACATAAAAGACAAAATATAGTATACAGGGTTTGGTACTTCTACATAGTAGGCATATACAAGGGGTCTTGGAACATATTCACAGACAATGGAGGATTCATTTATATATAAATGAAATGAAATCAGCATCCCAAAGACAGATCCACACTCATGCTCACCGCAGCACTGTAGTAATCAAGATAAAGAAGTAGCGCAAATATTCGTCAGATGTGAAGATAAAGAAACTGTGGATAAAGTGTACACATATACGTTCATATGCATATAAATGAAAAATCATTCAACCCAGATTAAAAAAGGAAATGTTGTATTTGTAACAACATGGATGAACCAAGGGGATGTTAAGCCAGACACAGAAATACAACTACCGAATAATCCCACTCATGCTTGCAATCTATCACAGTCATACTCAGATGCAGAGGGCAAAATGGCCCTTGCTGGGGCCTAGGGGAGAAAGAAATGGGGAGATGCCCAGTCACAGAGTACAAAAAGCATCGCTCAGGTTATACAGAATGCAAAAGCTCTGGAGGCCTCATGTACAGCAATGTGACCAATACTGTTTTGTATACTTAAAGGGAAAAAGGAAAAGAAAGTAGTAATTATATGTGGTGAAGAATATGTGAATTTGCCTTTGATTATTTCATAACATAGACACATATGAAAACCTCAAGCTTGAAATATATACATAATTTTGTCAATTTTATAACAATAAACATGCGAAGAGAAATCTTTGGACTTGCAGTCACATAATCCCCAGTATAACCAAACTTACAGCTAAGTAGATTTGGGTTAAAATACTGGAGAGTGACCCCAGCCAAGCCCTTACTTCTCTGAATTAGCTCTCCTGGCTGCAAAATGGGGCTAGAATTATACACACTTTATACCTTTTTTGAGGATTTTATGATAGTATACATATTGAGTTTAGCGTCTGCTATGTGGGAGGCTCTTAGCAAAAGTTACATTTTATAATAACAATGACATGAAATTAAGTATCTGTCATGTACTCCCTGGAAATCAAGTGTGGCGATAGATTTGAAAGTGCGGACAGCAAACTGACTTAGCAATGAATGGGTCCTGCCTGTGCACACGGAGAGGACAGTTTAAATTTTCAAAGTAAAAAAAGTAGAAGTTTCAACCTCTAAACACTCCTTTGATTTGTGTAACTGTGCACTTGTTTCTACATTTCTTCTAACCATTCTGAAAAGAAACTCAAGGAAATTTCAGTCATTTTCAATGTCTTTTTTTTATTATACGGAGGCTACATTTTTGAGGGGTTTTTTGGTGGAACCGGGGATTGAACTCAGGCCTTTGCGCTTGCCAGGGAAGCACTTATTCCACTGAGCCATCTCCCCGGCCCCCAGAGGTTACATTTTTAATACTCCCTATACTAATTTCTTTGTTCAGTTCTTCGCATCATAATTACACCTGATATGGTGGCCAGCTGCTCTCCCTAGGCCCCAGCAAGGGCCATTCTAAGGAACTGTGTCTTCTCCCATTATTTAAAGAATCATGTTTTTCCCCAGTTTGCTAAGCCACACTTCAAATTCAATTCCTATTCTTCTTTCTCCCCCAGGTCCCAGCAAGGGCCATTTTGCCCTCTGCATCTAAATTTGAGTGTGATAGATTGCAAGCATGAGTGGGATTATTTGGTGGTTGTATTTCTGTATCTGGCTTAACATCCTCTTGGTTCATCCATGTTGTTACAAATACAGCATTTCCTTTTTTAATCTGGCTTTTCGTTTGTATGTATATGAATGTATATATGTACACTTTATCCAACACGGAGAGCAGAACAGAAATGACTTCAGCTGCAGGAGAATTATCTGAGTCAACAAAATGTTCTTCCTGAGAGCAAAGGTTATAGCAAACAAAACTGACTCCATGACAGAGTTTTAAAAATCTGCTTTCCTCAACCAAAATGCCCCTCAACTGAGGAGTGGAGAAAAAAGACGTGGTATGTTTATACAATGGAGCATTACTCAGCTACAAAGAAAGATAAACTTGAGGCTTGTATAGATAAATGGATGTAACTGGAGACCATAATCATAAGTGAAATCAATCAGACTCCCATGTGTAAACATTATGTTGTCTCCCTACTGTAAGAACCTGAAAGAGAAAATAAAGTCTGAAAGGTACAACAGCTATAATGAAACTGAGTGTAAGGAACAAACAATTGGGATGAGAGCAAAGAAGAAAAGACAGAAGAAAAAAGGAAGGGGAAAAGTCATGTATACACACAGGACAGCTAAGATGATCGTGCTACTAATTTCTATGGTTTTTTTGAAGGTAGCAGTTAATGGTTAAAATTTTTGCCTTGGCCAATTTTGCATGCTAGTATCTGTAATGGGAACAACTACACTGAAGACAACAATGTGTAATGTAACAACCACTGCTGAATACCTGTCATCTTCTGTCTTTTTAAGTTGTGCATCATTGCTAATGTCTTCTCTATTATTTTTCTATTCTCTGTAAAATAAATAAAATTTTCATCCAATCTGTTTTCCTGGGGCTTTCAAAAGTAACCAGGATAATACGGGCACAGAACAGGGATTTTCAACCGTGGAATTAGGAGCCACTCAACTTGAAGCATGGCTTAGCAAACTGAGGAAAAACATGATTCTTTAAATAATGGGAGAAGACACAATTCCTTAAACAATGTCTATCTGGGGCTGGCGAGATAGCTCAGTGGGCTAAAGCGCATGCTTAGGCAAGCGCAGGGACTGCGGTTCAATCCCCAGTGCCACATGCCACACGCCACGCCAGCCACACAAATAAATAAATAATTTTTTAATAAACAATGTTTATCTGTATCTGCATATGTTTGCATAAGTAAATTGATACTTTTTAAACCACTGTATTAAGTAGTTTCTATAGTTATTATAGGATATGGCTGTGGAGAGAGTCTAAATTTTATCTCACTTGCACAAATATTGTATTGTTACACTACCTGTACATCATTTGTGTATTAGCATATTTCAACATCCACCTTTTTAAAACTTTGCTTCATCTTTAAAGTTCAAACTGTGCAACCAGAACCATATGATTCAAATTTTTGTTCTATGACCTCCAGTCTTGCAGATGGCTGACCTTGTACCTATGACCACTGTCTAATTTGTTGACCC